AAGCGAAAACCTTACCCTAACCCCCCCAAACCTAACCCTAAACCTAACGAAAAACCTAACGCTAACCCTTAACCTAACCCTAAATCTAACCCTAACCCTAACCCTTAACCTAACGCTAAACGTAACGCTAACGCTCTAACCCTAACCCTAACCCTTAACCTAACCCTTACCTTTATGTGAATCGGCTTGCTGTAATTTAATTTTTATTTCAATTTTTCGATCTTTTTCGTCGCGTTGTGATGACGTCACATACGCGATTTCGTCGACCGCACTTTTGTGGAACGCGCTTTTGACGGGTCACGCTAAAATATACCCAACAAAGGTCATAGCACTAGAAAGTGTTCCAATATTTGAGGGGCTCCTACAAAGATGAGGAGGTCAGTCTATTTTCCAAAAGCACCAAAAGGCAAGCCAAGAAACAATGGGTGGAAACTAAACAGGGAGAGAAGCAATCTAGAACTAAGGAGAAAAATCTACATGGTTAGAACAATCAACCAATGGAATAACTTGCCTTCAGAAGTTGTAGGTACTCTATTACCAATCATTGTCTGTATGCTAAACACGCCGATCCCTTTAACTAATCATCACAGAATTCAGCCTCCAAGACCCTTGTCAGATCTATTCTCATTTGTAATGACAAGTCTCGAACCCAAGGTGAGATGGACTTTGAACATGGATAGCTATAGCAGTAGCACTTAGATGTATATACCGCTTCACGGTGCTTTCCAGCCCTCTCTAAATGATTTACAGAGTCAGCCTCTTGCCCCCAACAATCTGGGTCCTCATTTTACCCACCTCGGAAGGATGGACGGCTGAGTCAACCTTGAGTCGGTTAGAATCAAACTGCTGGCAGTGGGCAGAATTAGCCTGCAGGGCTGTATTCTGACCACTGCACCACGAGGAAGGAGAATGAGAAAGGGAGAGAGGGCGGAAGGAAGGAAGGAATAATAATAATAGTACTTACACCTATATACCGCTTCACAATGCTTCCCAACCCTCTCTAAGCAGTCAGCCTATTACCCCCAACAATCTGGCTCCTCATTTTACCGACCTTGGAAGGATGGAAGGCTGAGTTGACCTTGAGCCTAGTGAGATTCCAGCTGCCAAACTGCAGCTAGCAGTCAGCTGAAGCAGCCTGCAGTACTGCACTCTAACCACTGCGCCACCTCGGCTCTATAAGTATCATCAGGCAGAGAAAACCAAGCATGCAGAGAACTTTAGCAGCCTGGTTTATATTTTTAGATTTTTCAGCTTTGTAAGCTATTCTTGCCTGCTGGTAGAGTTAAGATTACACTTTGAAATCATCAGGTTTCTTTTTCCAGATGTTCTTAATCATTTGGTCCACATCTAGGCTACCTTCCACTCAGCATTACTAATATGTGATGTAAAATGTGACCCCTACAGTAATTAATTACTATTTGGGAAGGAACCACGTTCGTGCAACCTGTTTAACCAGATCTAGTGCCTGCAGCCATGTTAAGTTTGAGACTGGTTTTGTTTGTTAGTTCATTGATTGTGATACAAACCAAAGCCATCCCATTAGGAGCCCTGGTGGTGCAGGGGTTAGAGTGCAGTATTGCAGGCTCACTCTGCTCACAGCCTGGAGTTCAATCCTGAAGGGACTCAAGGTTGACTCAGCTTTCTATCCTTTTGAGGTTAGTAAAATGAGCAGCCCAGGTTGTTGGGGGGCAACATGCAAATAATGCTGACTCTCTAAAATGCTTAGAGAGGGTGTAAAACACTATAGGACAGTATATAAGTCTAAGCGCTATTGCTATAAGTGCTATTAGTTTATGGTATAATCTAATGCACCCAAACACTGAGTGACTTCAGTAGCTAGTTGGAGCATGTTAATCTAAACACAATAAATAGGGTAGGGTAGGGTAGGGTAGGGTAGAAGACAGGAGAGGAGATGGGGGGTACGTTGGAGATCTTCCAGTCCATCCCTCTTGCTCAAGCAGGAGACCCTACACCAGTGTTTCTCAACCTTGGCAACTTGAAGATNGGAAGGATGGAAGGCTGAGTCAACCTTGAGCCGGTGAGATTTGAACCGCGGAACTGCAGAACTGCAGTCAGTTGAAGTAGCCTGCAGGGCTGCATTTAACCACTGCGCCACCTCGGCTCCTCTCTCTTCTACCTCTCTTCTAACCACGGTTTCCAAATCTACCCTTGTTCCCATCGCATCCCCACTGAAAACCCACAGGCTGAACTCCTATTCTTGAACAGGCACCCGACAGAAGTCAGATGTTGCCCCCCCCAACAAAACATCTGGCTTTGACCGGGATGGATGCTGTAACTCAGCATCAATCCACCAAGACTCATAGCAATAACTTCCTAGCGAGGTTTCCACCCTGCCCACATTCTGGAAACAAAGCATAACTTGTTGGGGTGGGGGTGGGCACAAGGCAAGCCAATGAACTTGGAAACGCAGAAGGTAGTTTTACAATGCTGCAAAGAACAGTAAACTTAAAGGTACCCCTCACACATATGTGCTAGTCGTTCCCGACTCTAGGGGGCAGTGCTCATCTCTGTTTCAAAGCCGAAGAGCCAGCACTATCCGAAGACGTCTCCATGGTCATGTGGCCGACATGACTACCGAAGGCACAGGCAACACTGTTAAGCAAAGGTGCTTCCTATTTTTCTACTTGCATTTGTACCTGCTTTCGAACTGCTAGCTTGGGCAGAAGCTGGGACAAGTAACGGGAGCTCACTCCATTACGCGGCGCTAGGGATTCGAACCGCCAAACCGTCGACCTTTCTGATCCGCAAGCTCAGCGTCTTAGCCACTGAGCCGCCGCGTCCCCTTCAAAGTACAGTAGCCTTTCTTAAGTCCTTAAACAGGAGGGAGGGGAGGAAGCAGCGCGAAGGAACAGACTACAGAGAGCCATTTCTGTTGAAGTTACGGCAGATCAAGATGTTAAGAGTGACCACTATTTAGTGAGGGTTGGTTAACCAATGTTCCCTTTGAGGATTAGCAGTTTAGCCCCAAGGCCATAGGGATGATGTTTTCAGGCTTGTGTATACAGGAGAGTGAATTATAAGTCTGTGAACCCGTACAATGTATACAGTAATTTGTGTGAGTGCTTTTGGGCAGCACGAAACCATTAAACTCTCAAGCCTTCACTCAAAATTGCTCACCGCACCGCATGTTAGCATGGCATGAACTGCCTCTGGTTTGGGGTCAGTCGGCTTTTCATTGCAGGCTGGAAAAGGACCCCTAGCGGGATAGTGAAAACACTTCCCAAAAATATAAAAAGATTAAAAAAAAACTTTTCAGTCTTCTGGGCGCTATTTTTAGAAATGGTGTGTTTCTTCCACCCCGTTAATCCCACTTTGGTGATTGGGTTTAGCTCAAAAGTTTTCTCCGGTTCTCCCTCCTCCCGGTTGCAGGAGGTGGAGGGGAGGAAGAAAACAGGAGATGGATACTACAAGAATATTTGGGGCTCTTAAGGGCCTTTGTAAGGGTGACTCAGTGGCTAAGATGCTGAGCTTGTCAATCAGAAAGGTCGGCAATTTGGAGGCAGTTCGGATCCCTAGCGCCGCGTAATGGAGTGAGCCTCCCTTACTTGTCCCAGCTTCTGCCAAGCTAGCAGTTCGAAAGCATGTAAAAAATGCCTTTTTTGGGTGGGAAGGTAAGAGTGTTCCGTGCGCCTTCGGCGTTTAGTCATGCCAGCCACATGACCACGGAGACGTCTTCGGACAGCGCTGGCTCTTCGGCTTTGAAACAGAGATNATCCAGACAACGCCCTGCGTCATACAGTCTACCCCAAGCCTGAGGAGTGGTAGGTGTTCTGACCCAGCTCCCCAAACACCACCAACCCTCTGAAGCGAATTCAAAGATCCCTTTATTAGGAGCGTCGGCAGCCCCAGCAAAAAGTTTCGCTCCCACAGCAGGCTAACAAGTCCGGCCGGCCGGGAAATGAATAGTTGTCTGCCACATCTATTCATCTCCACCCCTGCCTTTTATCCCCAGAGTTAGGGTGGGGCTTCACTAGCAGCAATGG